TGTACTAGCAAATGGGATATTTTAATTTTTGTAGAATTTGAAGGTAGATGCATAAGTACATACTCTGGATACCACAGTCCACGATGCCATACATACCGCCGAGAACAGAGGAAGATGGCGAAACATGATCCAGAGAAGGATAATGGGAGGGGATTGGTCATGAGCGTCTGACATGAGGAATGCGACTCAGGGAGGAAGAGGAGGCAGATGTGGATACGGCTCAACTGATGGTCAGTGGCTAGAGTTGATCATGGACTTCACTAATGACATTAATAGATAGGGTTGCCAGACGCCCCGTATTTTAGACTTAGTTTAAAATGTCCCGGCGGCATAATTGTATTGATTTTTATAAATATGTTAAAACCGATAAAAATATGTTAAAACCGACTTGCTCCTCGGAGAAATATCAAAAAACATATAAAGAATGTCACTATATAATTTTGTTTTTTATTTGTCCCAGGTTAAAAATTAAACTCCCGTATTTTTTTGCCTATTTAAGCATTTGCCCATTAGTAATAGAGCTTCTGTCTATTATTGAGTACTATTCACAAGCCTCGTTTGAACAGATGTAATAGCGCTCACGAAGACCCGTGGAATAAGTCCCATTCCAATGTTTCATAGTAGGCAGAAGAGATTTCTGTAAGTGCGCTGTAGATGAACGCAATGGTTCTAGGTATATTTTTCGTTTATAGTTTCATCTAGTGCAAACTAAAAATTAATTTCATCTCTTTTTTAAAATCCTATTTATATCAATCAAGATATTAAAAGGAATTATTATACTGACATCGGACCGATGTGTGTGCAAATTTTCAAGTTAATTATACGTCTTGAAGTCGATGATAATGACGTTCAAAGATTATGATAAACACAAACCAAACTTATATGCTTACATAGCTCTTATATATTAATACGTGAAGCAAAAACTTTGTATCCCTTTTTACGAAAATGGCGCGGACGGAGGAGTATGAAATTTTCCACACTTGTAGAGAATATAGAGAAGAAGTGCACAATGCTAATATTTTTTAAAAATAATGCATAAAAGATCATTAAAAAAAACATTACACACACATATCATGTATTTGACGCAACACGCATGCATACTATTTATTGTCAAACTTTTGTTCTTGACGTCTGTTGTCAAATTGAGAATAGATTAAATATTGTTTGTCTTTGTAAATATTTTTTATAGTGTAGTCTTGGCGAAATTTGAGATTATAGAAGTATAAAATACAATCATAATAGTGTACAATAGTGTAAAATAAACTTACAATTCCAAATAATTATAGCCGAATTTCGACTACTGCGGGACCTCTAGTAGCTCTTAAAAGCATGTCAATTAAACTATGTAACGTTCATTTCATCCTTGGAATTACGTTAACAACCTCAGAGATTCTTAATTACGTTGCAATTGGTTAAACGCGTAAAAAAAATATCCCAAATTAACGTATTATTGGAAACAAAAGGTCACGAACGAAGTGTTTATAATGTTTTGCAATAATCAGAACGGGTATTGTGCAGGGCTGAGAGAAACAGTTGTAGTCTCTACCATAAGGCAGAATTGAATATCAGTCTGATACTACAATTAAAATCACGGCGATTGCATGCAGCAGAGATGCGAATGTTGCGATGGAGGTGTGGAGTAACGAGAATGGATAGAATACAGAATGAATATGTTAGAGGAAGTCTGAAAGTGGCACCTGTTACAGAGAAGCTGAGGAGTGCGCGTTTGGGATGGTATGGACATGTGATGAGACGAAATGAAAATGAGGTTGGTAAGAGAGTGTTAACTATGAATGTGGAAGGATATAGAGGTAGACCTAAGAAGAAATGGATGGATTGCGTGAAAGATGATATGTGTAAGAAGAGAGTGAGCGAACAAATGGTATATGATAGAGGAGTATGGAAGGAGAAAACATTTTTCGTTGACCCCAAGTGACTGGGAGAAGGGCAGGATAATGAGGACTACAATTAAAATCATATTTACGGGCTAATCTGGTATTTTTTTTATTGTCATTATACTATTTACAATGCTTCGAATACTTTGGAGTTTACGTGGTCAGAGACGACTAAAGTCTTAACCGTCGACTTTTGAATTTTATTCGAACTAAACTACCCTCTGTTTTTCTATAAAAAATATCTTCGGGCTTATGTGTTTCATTTAACAGAGAATGAAATACTAATAACTCGAAGTCCTCGTGTCCTGAAGGATGAGAGACCCGATTAATTCGTACCGAGCGATGCGTCTGTTCAAATTCCGCAGGTAAATACCAATTTTTCTAATGAAATACGATGTTCAATCAATAAAAGGTTAACCAACTCATTCCCCCCCTTCAAATAAGGTTAACTTATAGCTTCCTAATTTCTTGATAATACTGAATGACGACCACGACCGCTCTGACAAGATAGATACGACAAAAAATATATAATTGCTTAAGATTATAATATGGATTTTTAAAGTTGCCTTTTAAATACTTTTGTCACTTAGACACTTTTGATGAGTCTAGCGGTTCCGAAGTTAGTTGCGGAGACCACTTACGCTATATAAATATCTACAATTCAAATTCTTTTAGGCTCAATTGAAAGTAGAAATCCTTGTAGTTATCTTAAGTTATTCAATTGTATTCATATTACAATATGTTTGGTGCGGCTTTAATGGATTTAATTCGGTTTAAATTATGATTCAGGTAGATGAGTAAACAGTAGTGTAGGTAGGAAGGTATAGTGTTTTTGAAGTCGATGTGGCGTCAACTTTATTCCTAACTAGCTGACCCGGCAGACTTCGTAGTGCCTCAATTGATAGTTAAAAGACCTAAGCTTTTGTATAAAATAAACTTAAAACAAACAAAAGGAATCCGTCCGACGGGGGACACTTCAAAGGGAAAACAAAATTGTTATTTTAATTTCATTCCGAGTATTTTCATATTTATTTACCTTTTAAACCTTCTCTGGACTTCACACACAAATAATTCAAGACCAAAATTAGGCAAATTTGGAAGCAAGGAAGGTCATAGCAACTATCACGGTCTTAGTTTATTCATAAGAATAATGAAACTGCACACCGAATAATTGAAACTGAACCATAATCATAAATATCTGAGGATGCAGATTAGTTTAACGTGAATAAATTTTATGTTTTCCGTGGACGTTTTGATATTGACGTGTTGTAAATAGAATTGATTGTTTGGAAGGAAATAAATTGATAGCACTAACTGGCTCATTACTTATTAAGCAAAATAAAACAAGTTAATAAATATTTTAATTGCGTTACGTTGCGCGCTCCGAAAATATAACACGGCGATCGCGTTTTATTTGTCATCTTCTCAAGAATCACCCAATCAAGAATCTAAGTCACTCTTATCCACCTGATGGTTGTCTGGAAAAGATCGCTCTTAGCGATGAGACCGCCAATTGTACTTTTTTTGTAATTAATGTATCGCATTGTTTGTTTATTTTTTTGGTGTACAATAAAGACTCTCTGTCTCTCTCTTTCTCACTCTAATCTTAGCTTTCCCGAAGAATGCGTCTAACTCTGCTTCGATCACGAATCCTAAACACCAGTACTATATCCTTAGAGACAGATCATATTCTGCCTACATTCCCATCAATGTATGAAAAACGCCGGTAAGACGGAAACAGGTCTCAAGTTAATGTCTTATTTGGTCAAGTTTTCCACTTTTCCTGTGTGATTCTCAATCATTAAGCGCGCGTACCTGCTTAGGGGCAATGACTTATGCCTTAAATAGGATTCTAAATAATTTTCTTTTACTTCATATAATATGTTTCTTGAGTCGAAACCTTCATTACTTGTCTCTAAGGCTGTGTAATCTAATGCCTTCAATAAACATTTAACATCGGATGAGGTCCAAACTAATTTCTCGGTTAAGTTAAAATAAATAATAATTATATAGCGCGTAGATAAAATTCTAATAGTATTGGAGAACTATTTTCATATTGATAAATATAAGCGTCCGTTTTACAAGTTGATATTGGGCCCGCAAGAGTATCTATCGTTATCTTTTGTTGATTGAAAGATTACTGGTGTCCCGGAGGCCTTTCCAGTTTCACCAGGACAGGTGGGCGAGCAAAAGCTCAGCTAGGAGGGATGGGATTTGCTAATAGCTACCCGAGCGCCTCCAAAGGATAGCTAACAACTCAAGAGCAGCTGCTTCGCGAATGAATCTACTACCGGATCGGAATCGGTGAGAAGATCCGGCGAGAAACTCAACGGGCTAACGTTATCCTGTAGATTTTAGCCGCGAAACATTAATACGAGGATTCAGTAAAATATAATTTGGATATTAAACTCCTGTCTTGGGTTGGGCGATGACATTGCTTTTGTGTGGGAGCCATTTAACGTTCAACGAGTAATGAGCTTGTTTATGTAGATAATATCTAAGTATTTATGTACTGAATGAGACGGTGGCGCAGTAGTTAATGGCTCTGACTGTTGCGCCAAGGATCGCGAGTTAGATTCCCGCATTGGGCCAACATTTGAGCGATGACCAGGTTTATTTGTTTTTTGTCTGGGTGTTTATTATCTAGATATGTATATGTTGGACGGTTAAATTTGAAGGGACTGGGTTCTGTAGATGAGAAGTCCTAGTCATGACTGAAGAGAAGACAATCATCTGTTTTAAACATTTAAATAAGCATTCCAATATTCGAAAACTGTTACTTCACATGTGGCAAGTGTTGCCTGGCATTATTTCCATATTCAAACTCTAACAGTATATATTTAAAAGTATATAAGTATGTATGCCAGTCTCTGGTACCTATAACACTGGGAATCTTAATTTGGGACCGGATGACAGCGCGTGATGTGCTCTCAGTAAAAAAAAAACAGTTGAATGTAATAATAATTCGTAATAATGAATGTAAAAAAAATCAAATGCGAATTCTAAAATATTTTACGCATACATAGTTTAAGTAAGATAAGTTACGTAATTACACACAAATCATTTTTAAATGAATGCAAATATAATCCGAGAATCAAAACTCACCTATATATTACAAAACGCACTCGCACAAAAATATATTATATAAATAAGATATTTGAAAAGAAACAAAAAAATATATATTATACACTCAAAAACACAACTTGTAAATTCATATTATAAAATACATATTTGCTTGTTTTTTTGTTTTTAATTTATTTTTACTGCACGAGTATCTAGCGTTTATTAAGACTGGCCGGTTGCACGACTGTGTTATTCAATATAAAGCGTTAAGAGTTCACCATAGCAGGCGGTGGTGGGCGCGAGTGACATTCTAAATACGAATTTCCCGCCAAAACGAAGCGTCCGCGACCTTTTTTTTACCCTACCTATGCTGATAGCTTTGAGAGCTAGCTTCTCCTTGACGTGTAGGTGAGCTCACGGGGCTCAAGCCGGAGTTTTGCTAACGCTGGTCCTAGCAAGGACAGTGCTTCGCAGAATCTACCACCGGATCGGAAACGCGACCCGCTGAGAAGATCCGGCGAGAACTCAGTGGGCTGTGTCTATGGATTAATTTACTCGTCGAGTTCTTCGTCGCAAGCGACGGATTCGGCGAGGACGGTGACCGATGCTTGAGGTAACTAAAAGCACCGTATGACGTGGCGGCCTCTAGCGATAAGAATATTATAGGTCCGCTGGGATAGATTTTTTTTTCTTAATTATAATACATACCACTGTGAACATTCCCGATCCTGCGGACAGAATGGAAAGCAGTCGACGTCGCCCAAAACACGTCATTTCGGATCCTCCCGATCCACTAACGGTGCTTTTAGGCACCACAAGCACCGGTCGCAAGCAAGGGTTCGACGAGTAAATTAACCCACAGACACAGCCTCTCGCCGGATCTTCTCAGTGGGTCGCGTTTCCGATCCGGTGGTAGATTCTGCGAAGCACGGCTCTTGCTAGGGCCAGTGTTAGCAACGTCGTCAGGTTTGAGCCCTACCTGATCTGAACCTACCTACCTGACAGGTTAAGTTTACGCTGAAATAGTCTCTCAAGGCTATCATCAACTTAGGTAGGAAAAAAAAAAACTGGGAATATATCACGTACGCTCATGCGACCTCAATTTTGGATTTCCTATGCTATGAGTATCAGATACTGATAAACATACTTATTTAAGTTTAAACAAATACTTATCCAGGGGTGAACGATTCAAAGAAACATATAATTTTTATTTATGTATACAATTAAAAATATATATTAATACGTGAAGCAAAAACTTTGTACCCATTTTTACGAAAATTGGGCGGATGGAGGAGTATGAAATTTCTCACAATTATAGAGAATATAGAGAAGGAGTGCACAATACTAATTTTTTTTTTAAATAATGCGTAAAAGATACTTTAAATCAATAAAGAAAATATTACACACACTACCATGTATTTTACACAACACATACATAAAAATATACTCTTTGTTTACTGTCAATTGGGAAACTTTTGTTATTGTTTAAAGTCTGTGGTCGAATTGAAAATAGATTAGTGTTGTTTGTCTTTAATATTATTGACCTATGGTGCAGTTTTGGCGAATACTGTGATTATATTATCGAATTATAATAGTGTTTGACAATAGAACCATAATAATGTTTAAGCTTATAATTTCAATTAATTATAGTCGAATTTCGACTACTGCGGGGCCACTAGTAGGTACAATTAAAAATGTCTCTTTGATTCGACTTCAGGTTGTCTTTCACGTTGGTCGTCGAGACAATAGCGACGCTGGAGGTTGCTCGCTCGTTATCTTCAACGAGAGTTTAATTTCACTTCTAGGGAAACAATAGCTCATTACCCCTACTATTGTAACGGGGAAAGATTTTTTTAAATACAAAAATTAATATTGTAATTTTTTTTATGTATTTTATTTTATTTATTATATACGTTATTTATTGCTCTTTTAGGCTGACGAGCACGCGGCCCACCTGAGTGAGTGGTTGCCATCGCCCATGGACTTCACTGTCACTTCAATGTCAGAGGCAGAGCCAAGGCGCTGCCCACAAATTTGTATTAGTGTAAAAATATATATCATTAACAAGTAAAATACTATGCAACATGGGGCAACGCAAATGCGTCGTCGCCCTAAGCATGGCGAGAAACTCAATGGGCTGTGTCTATGGGTTAGGTATTCTCTCTCTCGCTCTCTCTCTCTCTCTCTCCCTCTCTTTCTCGCTATCTCTTTCTATTTATACGCAGATCCAACTTTGTTTGTTTACCAGCGAATTTCTCTTCTACTGTGAATATTAAAGTAAGAGTCGTAAACCGATACAATGGTAGCGGTAAATGTTTATCGTTTCAAACAATGTGAACTAACATTAATAGTTTTAACGAGGCATTATGCAATTAGTTATTTAACATTTTATCCATTGTTATTTTGGAAGCTTACATAGACGCATAATGATCGTTGTGGCAAAAGAACGTTTGATCATAAATTATAATATATTTAAAAACGGGTTTATTGAATACAAGAATTTCAACGATATTTGACGTTGTTTTATTTTTTAAAATAAAAGAACACTTATTGCATAAGTGCATTACTATAATAGTCAGACATATGCTGTCGCGACACTTTTTGTAAATAATAATGTGTTCTACAGAGTCGTAGTACCTACACTATTTTATTCTATCATCAATCGCTTTCGCAGGGCACGCGATCTAAAGAATATTTTAGGTAATTTTTTTACACCTTGGGTTACATTATTGGAGTTTTAGTAAGGATCCCTAATTTTTTTCAAATATTATAATAGCCTATGTCACTCGGGAATAGTGTAGCTTCAAAACAGTGAAATAATTTTTCAAATCGGTTCAGTAATTTCGGAGCCTATTCAGTACAAACAATCAAACAAATCTTTCCTCTTTATAATATTAGTATAGATCAACCACTGATAAAATCACTAATTATTAATTTATTTTGTAACTTAAACTAGTCTAATAGAATTTTATGTATTGAAATTCTAAATTTTTTTCTGTGAGTGATAACAAAATTTTCCTTGAATGATTGTGAATTAATATAATTATCTTGATTACATTTGTTGGTGGAGCCAATAATAACGTCCTGGCTGTTTTATTATAATGAAACTCTGCCAATGCCGGTCCCAAGCCCGGATGAGAAGAAGGGTTGTGTTGGAGTTCGACCTTTCCACCGTAAAACAGTCAATGCCGAATGTCGGGCGGCGTGTGGCAGTAGCCATCATACAACGCAAGATAATTGACAGATGCCTGAATCTCGCTTACGACATTTTCAAGATAAGCTTGCATAATATATACAAGTTCCGAACAATCACAACATTTGGACCGTCGGTCTACCGAGCAAATATCACCCGCTCGGTGGAAGATCTTTCCATTGACGTTTAAGCCTTCCCACAGGTGGTTAATTAGCCGGACACAAATAAGGCTTCAACGTCCTAGAAGGACTAAATCTCTTACAAAAGCACTGCCGTGGTAGGACGCGGAACCCCACCGTGTATATTAACCCAAGAAAGTCATATGAGGCCACGAGCCTCAACAATGAGGATTATCGATCGAGGAGGAGGGCGTCAACGTCGCCTTAAACACGTCAATACGGATCCTCCCGAATCATTAAAGGTGCTTTTAGATGCCACAAGCACTGGCCACCGTTCTCGCCGAACCCGTCGCTTGCGACCAAGGGTTCGACGAGTGTATTAACCCATAGACACAGCCCACTGAGTTTCTCGCCGGGTTTCAGTGGGTCGCGCTTCCGATCCGGTGGTAGATTCTGCGAAGCACTGCTCTTGCTAGGGTCAGTGTTAGCAACGCTCCCGGCTTGAGCACCGTGAGCTCACCTACGCGCCAAGGAGAAGCTGAAATAGCCTCTCAAGGCTATCAGTATAGGTAGGAAAAAAAAGGAGGGATTTCACACAAATGGTATACAAAAAAGTATAAAAAAACACGGGCATAGTGGAAACGTTCGATTCGGGTAAATCGGGTGTCTTATCTTACAGGCTACGAAGACTATAAACTTTAAAAAAAATCAGCTGTTACATGTGTTAAAACATCATCTATCGTGTGAATTAATAAATAGCCTATTCTCCTTCAAATAAGTTATTGTGTTTATTGTATCTATTATCTATCTATATCTATATTTATGTGTCTATTGTATTGATGTATCTATGCAGGTAGACTAGCCTTATGACATGAGAAGTGTCCGAGGACATTTTTTAAAGACGGGCAAAATCAATTTTGTTTTGTCAAAATAAAATGAAGAAAAAAGTATTAGATATTTAATTTGTACCTCGTTAGCATCTGGCTCGTTGGTCTAGGGGTATGATTTTCGCTTAGGGTGCGAGAGGTCCCGGGTTCAAATCCCGGACGAGCCCAATTTTTTGACCGGTCTGAGAAAGCTGGCGTTGTTTTTTGATATTTTACTAAATAATTCATTACATACGTTGCTCAGACAGTTTTCTTTCTAAAATTATTGATATTCTGGTCTGTAATATTTTTACTTTTAATAATGGAATAATTTTACAAAACAAGTATAAGTATATATAATAATAAGCAAAAAATTTAAAATATTATTTGAAAAAAAATACGTACCTATGTACATAGATATGTAACATTTTAAAACAGATTTTTGTTAAGTTTAATAGAATTTAATTAGAGGAGATGATTAGAAGTTTTGTACGTATCGGTTATTTGCGACATCTGTTGACAAGTTGAAACTTCTCGAGGACGTAAATCGATCGTTCAAACTGTCACGGATAGATGGCGCTTTGATAAATTATTAGCTTGAATTTTTTGCTACTTGAATTATTGTTACTAATTAAAGTTTAAAATATCTTTAAATCATTCACAGTATTTAAAGTAAATTATAAAGTAAAGTAAGTAAGTAAAACGTAGATCTACAACACTCCTTAGCTTTTGACATAGCAATGTACTGACAATAATAATATGATTAAGGTGAATTCTATGTTTTCATTCCAGATTGTTCGTAGTAGAAACTGAATCATTAAAGAATTTGTATTGAAGATATTTTTTTATCTAATTTACTTCCACGTTTTTATCTAGAAACGAAATAATAAATCTTAAAAAAATTGAAATTAATAATAAATCCTTATAAAGTTTTTAATAAAATTTATTATTGTTTCATATTATATAACAATACTTGTACAGTGCTATTTTAAACTATTAATAATTATAAATAAAGTGATAATATATGATATATGGTGTGAGATAATATATGATATGAGTTTATGATTGCTGGGTGATGATATATTTATGTGTTTTCTTGATAAATCCTGCTAATAAAATTAGGAACAGCGCTTTGTGCTTCTTGGTTTGTGCGTTGAGTAAAATATTTTAATTTAGTGTAGTAATAGCGATGAAGCTAAGGTCAATCTACTGAATGTAAACTATAAATATTGCACTAGCATATTAAATTAATAAATATTGACGCTAGATAAATTACTGGTAGCTATTGGTAGAGGCTAGTGCTCCAAAATGTGTGTCGCCAAAGAGACTTGTCATGTTATTCTAAATACGGTGCTCAAATCTAAATAGGTAGATAGGCTAATTCGAATAAATTCTATTTAGTAATATAATCAGGCAAAGTTAAAGAGTATATGGTCAATAGCTTGATGTTTTACATTACCTACATCTTCAAATAGTGGCCATAAAATAGTCTTCCGACGGACATGGATCGTTCCTATCGACCGGTTTGTATCTGTATATTTTACCTTTAGTTCCTATTATCATATTGTTTTTATTATCGAATACCATTCCCGTAATTTTGAAGCCCAGCTGACCTAATTTCTCGGGCAATATACTTTTCGTTGTCAATTTAAACAACGATCCTTTGACGGCTAGAATTATTTCATCATTATTGTTCATTTGTAATATATATTTCAGTTCTCTGGTAAGTCCTTTATATTGGATCGGCTCGTAATAGTCTATTGACAGGAAATACAATCTTCCGTCGACAAATTCGTAGAATATATTTCCGTTGCTGTCTAAAACAAAGCTGTATGCTTTAGGTACTTTGTCGTACCTCTTCACGGCGGCTGTGTTATTCATGAACCTGAATATTTCGTGATTCGTTCCGGTTGTTATATACATTTGATTGTCGTTGTTGTCTATAAATATGTTCCTCACGTCGTCATCGCCTATGGGCCTCTCTGAGTTGATTTCCGAATGGGCATCGTCGTAGCTAAGTATACCTTGATTTGTGCCTATATAAATGATGTTGTTTACCGTGTCTATGGCCACGCATTGGCCTATCACGTCGTCGGAGATCGGTAGTAATTTAACTCCTAGAGATCCGCGTTTTAGTATGTGTATGCCCTTGGTATAATTACGTTTGTGGAGCAGGAAGAATAAGTTGTCGGTTTTAGGGTCAACAGCCATTCCGGTTGGGTATCCGTCGATCGTCGCGATTAACTGCCGCTTGTAGAATTCATTGCCTATTTTGATTGTCTCGCATTTGTCCGCGAGGGTATTCGTGGCGATGGACGATGATAGAAGTGTTACGATTATGATTCCAATCATTATGTTCTCATTATAGACAGGCTGCTTCGCGAATAGTTGACCTGAAATATTGATTACCTTATTACGAATTATAATTTTGTAGATGGTGGTGTTCATTAGCGTAGGTACCACCACCCTCGCTATTTGTGCCGTGAAGCAGTAATGCGTTGCGGTTTGAATAGTGGAACAGACGTTGTACTGTAAAACTTAGACTTAGAATGTCTCAAGGTGGGTGGCGGCATTTGACCCCTTTAGACACATGCTTATGGATCTAATCGATCCACTTACATTGTAATTAGAGGTCTGCAGCTCTAGCATCAAGAGCAGGCATAAGGACACTGATAGCCTCGTCGAACTCGTCAAAGAGTTGGATGTAAAACCGAAGGCTTCAGCCCGCTGAGTTTCTCGCCGGATTTTCTCAGCAGGTTGCGATTCCAATACGGTGGTCTTGAGCTGTTAGGTCTCTTTTGTAGGCGCTTGGACGGCTGTTGGCAAATCCCACTTCTACTGGCTGAGCCTGTGCTCGCCCACCTGTCCTGGTGAAACTTGAAAAGCCTCCGGGTTACCAGTAATACCTATTTTAAAAAAAACGCTTTCTGTTCCGCTAGATTTTCATTGTTTTCTTCATTTTGTGTCAATAAAACGTAAAACTGCCTCTTAATTTATTTCGTAAATTAATCAAACCATACCTTTAACTTCCAACAGCAGTTCTAGATAGCTTCGACGCGAATGATTCACGTATTATAAAACCTAGCGATCCATTGTAGCTAAGAGTTGATGTTTGTAAACACACGAAGTAACTTGATGATAATATTAAAAAGGCCAGTTAAATACAGGATGTTGTCGAATTTTTTGAATGTCTCGTCTTATGTGGGCTGGTTGACTGACGCGTTGGTGGAGTCGGGACACATCACTGACATGAAACCTTTTTTTTAATTTTTTTTATTAGATAGTTGGACGAGCTCACAGCCCCCCTGGGGTTAAGTGGTTACTGGAGCCCATAGACATTTACAACGTAAATGCGCCACCCACCTTGAGACATAAGTTCTAAGGTCTCAGTATAGTTACAACGGCTACCCCACCCTTCGAACCGAAACGCATTACTGCTTTACGGCAGAGATAGGCGGGGTGGTGGTACCTACCCGTGCGGACTCACATGAGGTCCTACCACCAGTATAAAAGCCGTTCCCACCGTGCGATATGCTGTTTTAGTGGTAGGCCTTTGGCGTTACATGTGCTTGTTTATGCCGCGAAGCAATATCTGTTTCTGTTTTAGGAATGGGCTAATGTAGGCAGCGGTTTGACTGTGCCTCTTGCATTGCTGAAGTCCACTCGGTGACCAGTCAACACCAGGAGGGCCGTGTAATCATCTGCTTGAAAAGGAAATGAAAAAAATGCGATAGCTGCATTTACGTACTAATGATGCATAACGGTGTTTTTAGGTGCCTAAAGCACAGGTCACTGTCCGAGTAAATTGACCCATAGACACAGCCCACTGAGTTTTTCGGATCTTCTCAGTGGGTCGCGTTTCCGATCCGGCGGTAGATTCGGCGAAGCACTGCTCTTGCTAGGGCCAGAATTAGCAACACTCCCGGTTTGAGTCCCGTGAGCTCACCTACACGTCAAGGAGAAGCTGAAATAGCCTCTCAAGACTATCAGCATAGGTAGGAAAAACAATGATGGATGGTATTTGTTTTGTGATGTCTATGAGCTGCCGTTTAGCAATACGGCACTGTCGCATATTTATTTGGGGCGATAATAGAAAAGCAAAGTAGCTAAAGATGACCAAGGTGGTGTCGTGTCATAAATAGAGACTGAAAAGTAAATTTGCGTAATCACAGATATTGTAAGTCCGTACCGGCTACCAATGTCTTACCTATTACTACCGCAATGCAGTTGTAGATTCCAGTCTGAAAAGTGTGACAACCTGAATGCAATTAATAATTCTACTGTTTCATGGTGAGTGAGGGCTTTCACGATATAATATCCAAGCTCATCTACAACAAAACTTTGGTATCGTCTTAAGTGAGGAACGCATATTTTTCAAACAAACCGTATCTAGATTAGATTCGATGATCTAATCTATTGAATCAATCGTCGATTGTATAATAAATCTATCCAATTATTCTTTTGCAATTAAGTCTTTCCAACTTACAGTTTGGCGTTTGAGTTTTTAATCATAATAAACTTATATCGAATCGGTTGGCTTAGGTATATCCCGAAGATTTTCGCTCCGGCAATAAAGCTATTTATCTTTATGAACGAGTTTATGAAGATCGAGACAGAGGATCGCAAAGACGTGAGCATTTCGTATTGAGCAAACATAAAAGCTAATCTTTAATAAATAAGACAAAACACACAATTTCGGACCACGTATTGCCGTCTAAGGACCACATTAGCGATGATTTGGTCTTTAAAGTAATTACCTTTGGTACCAAATTGCTACAATTAAAAATCGGGTTAAAGTTGTGTTAGTTGTTGAATGTCATGGAAGTTAATTATAAAGAAATATGTTTTTTTAACGTAATTGCCATTATTTTTATGTGATTGTTTAAATTAAATTAATATTTTGAAATCAGAGAATTAATGGCCAGTTAAGTGTAGTATTTTTGAATTATTTTTGTCTGACTGATCTTTAGTCTATTTGGCATTAATCATTTGATCAGTTATTGTGCATTAAAACAATATAAAATTTGAAAATTTTATATATAAATTCGTCTTGCTAACGCATAGAACGACTTTAAATCATAAGAAATAGTTCATTATCCTGGGCTTTTAAATATTTTTTACGCCATATGTACTTTATAGGCCTAAATAATGTACATACAACCAAATAACGCCCGAAATACGTATAATGTAGATTTATTATTGTGGACATTATTAACACAGCAAATTGTATAGAGAAAAAAACGGATCGAGCCAGTATCGATAGTAATATTACTAAAACACCATCAGAATACATTAACAATCACAAAATAAAAGGAAAACATGGATTATATCTATAAATTACATCATTCGTCGATAAATACATTCTATTGTCTACCTCATTAAACGCTATACCAGATGGATAGAAGTCCAATTCCATCAGTTTGTTCGGGATCACGTTGTCTGGTCGCAGATGGTACAAACCGTCGGTCGCAGCCAATATCACTCTCCCAATTCCATCTACAGCTATAGCTTTTCCGGAATTCTTAGCGATACCAACAAATTCAATGGGCTCTTGAAAGCCTTTGAGCAAAACTTTAACATATTTGGAATCACATTCGTAAAATATATTATCTTTGTCATCTACGCCCAAATAGAAAGCGCAGGGAATGTATTCGACTTTCCTCTTTTCGTCTTTTTCTATGTCGATTATGTAAACAGCGTTTTCTGGAAACAAAACAGCGTACAATTCATCTCCGTGTCGCGGCTTGTATAGCTGGACGATATCGTCATCTTTAAGACCAACGAAATTAGCTTTGTCGGTACTGTTTAGTTCGTTTAGTCCGTCATCGCTGGCTATGTACACTTTGTTTCGTTTCATATCCACCGCTGAAGCTTGACCTCTAACGTTATCGATTTTGATCGTATTCCCCTCTCGAAGTATATACTGGTCCATTTTTGTCTGGATGTTGTCATCTTGAAGTGTTTCCAGGTCTATTAGAGTGAATAGCAGATCTTGATTAGCAGGGTTGTAGACCAAATTTGTTGGTAGGCCTTTAATGGATAATATGGCTGTTCTTGAGTAAGGTTGACCATCGAAATAGAAGGAGCAGTTCTCGGATGCCGCAGCTGCGACCACAAGTAGGAGGACGAATTGAAGCATTTTAATATCTGAAATAGTGAACGCAATTTTATTTGTTGTCCAAAAAGCTTTTTTTTTTATTGCTTAGATGGGTGGACGAGCGCACAGCCCACTTTGTGTTAAGTGGTTACTGGAGCCCATAGACATCCACAACGTAAATGCGCCACCCACCTTGAGATACAAGTTCTAAGGTCTCAAGTATAGTTACAACGGCTGCCCCACCTTTCAAACCGAAACGCATTACTGCTTCACGGCAGAAATAGGCAGGGCGGTGGTACCCACCCGCGCGGACTCACAAGAGGTCCTACCATCAGTAATTACGCAAATTATAATTTTGCGGGTTTCATTTTTATTACACGATGTTATTCCTTCACTGTGGAAGTCAATCGTGAACATTTGTTGAGTACGTATTTCATTAGAAAAATTGGTACCCGCCTGCGGGATTCGAACACCGGTGCATCGCTTCAATACGAATGCACCGGACGTCTTATCCGTTAGGCCACGACGACTTCAAAGCTTTCTTATTTGTTACAATTCTTTTAAATTATCTTTACAAAACAGCTGAAACTTCTCATATTAGTGTATCAGTTGTATTGAGAACCGAAATTTCGAGAAACTATTTTAATTAATATTCTTTATCTGTTACTCTTAACAATTTTTTCATTGAATTATTCAATTTCGTTTAATAAATTTTTTAATATCAATCTAAGTTTTTTTTTATTACTTCAATGGGTGAACGAGCTCACAACCCACCTAGTGTTAAGTGGTTACCTGGTGTGAAGTGGCAGCCCATAGACATCTACAACGTAAATGCGCCACCCACCTTGAGATATAAGTTCTAAGGTCTCAGTATGGTTACAACGGCTGCCCCACTCTTCAAGCCGAAACGCATTACTGCTTCACGGCAGAAATAGGCAGGATGGTGGTGGTACTTACGCGTGCGGAATCACAAGATGTCCTACCACCAGTAACAGGGAATCCTAAATTATTGCCGGATGACCGTGCGTAATTTATTTCCAGTTAAAAAAAAGAATGATTTTAAATTAATTAAATTGTTTTTAAGTTACTCACGTGATCGCGTTCTTGAGGCGGGACACTTCGCTTCTATCCGTGTGACAACTAATTATAATATTTTGTTTCAACGTTCACAACAATAACTCCGGGTCGAAATCCTATTATCAATTCGGCTCAAGCACACAAGACACGATAAATGAAAAAACAATATTTTATATACATATTATATTAATATTATTATTTATTATTCTTCGAAACTAATCGAAACGTTTTTTGGTTGTATTTGTTTTTGTATACTGTATCGTGTGTACCAACTATTTGACTTTCTATTGTCTACATAAAACGGCTAATGCTGAAAAGTAAGTATTTATTTGAAATAGGAAGAAGTTATTGTGATCGTTTTCATTGTCATACGATTTTGGATTAACGTAACACGATTTTTTTTTTAATACGCTTTTGTTAGCTTCATACGTATGTTACTATGTATGTTAGTACTAGCTGACCCGGCAGACTTCGTAGTGCCTCAACCGATAAATAAAAGACCTAAACTTTTGTATAAAAAAAAAACATAAAACAAACCAAAGGAATCCGTCCGACGGAGGACACATCAAAGGAAAAACAAAAATGTTATTTTTATTTAATACGGAGCATTTTCATATTTATTTACCTTTTAAACCCTCTGTCTTCGATCAACAATAGTATTGTTGTTGTTGATCGAAGCCCTCTCTGGACTTCCACAAATCATTCAAGACCAAACTTAGTCAAATCGGTCTAGCCGTTCTCGAGTTTTAGCGAGACTAATGAACAGCAATTCATTTTTATATACTTATATATGGATGTAACGAAATCTTTGAACATGATTTTGACTCTTGCAAAACGTCAGATTAACTCGAAATGTGGCAACTTATCAAGTACCGATAACAATTCAATATTTTAAACAGTTAGGCCTGTTATTTACTTTCGGCAGTCAAAACAAAACAACAAATTTGTTTGAGCGCCTTATTTTTTCCACTTAGCAAATTGGAAACTGTTGTATTTTCCTGAGAGTACATTATTGAATAATTTATGATAAATACCTATTTAAATTAAAAAGTGAAATATGAATAATAGTTTAAAAAAAAACGCATTTTTACAAAAAAAAAAAATTTTTTCTTACACTATTTTTAATTCAAATTTATTAAGATTTATTTTCTATTTTTTAGTTGGATTTTCTATAAAAGCGTATTTTGTTAGTTTTTTAAACTATTATTGATTTTTATTTTTTTAGTTGAATTTCAATTTTCTCATTATTTTTTTCAAATTTTTTCTTCTAATATTGAATTGTCATAGGTCCTTAATAAGTATAATGAGTTAATTCGACGTTTTGAAGGGGGTCAAAATCATGTTCAAAGATTCCGTTACAAACATACATACGTCTGATGCTAATAAAAGCGTATTAAAAAAGTATTGGCTGATATGTTCCTCCTAAAATTGGCTTTCAAATTAATGAGGACATGATCAAGAATCTTCTACATTTGTTATCTGAATAAGCAATGCTAAGTTCAAAAAGGAACATGCGGGAGAGGCTGTTTGTTCTGTAGTTACCTTTATTGCATTCGTTGATTCATCATCATTCATTATCCTGCCTTTCTCCCAGTTACCTGGGGTCGGCACAACATGTTTTCTCCTTCCATACTCTTCTATCATATATCATTTCTTCGCTCACTTCCCTCTTACCCATATCGTATATCACGCAATCCATCCATTTCTACTTAGGTCTACCCCTTCCTCTATATCCTTCCACATTCATAGTTAACATTTTCTTACTAACCTCATTTTCATTTCGTCTCATCACATGTTCATACCATCCCAAATGCGCACTACTCAGCTTCTCTGTCACAGGTGCCACTTTCAGACTTCCTCTAACATATTCATTCCGTATTCTATTCATTCTCGTTACTCCACACATCCATCGCAACATTCGCATCTCTGCTGCATGTAATCGCCTTTCATCCGCCACTTTAGTGGTCCAACAAGCTGATCCATACAAGACGGCAGGTCTTATATATCTTCCCTTTTAGGGGAAGCGGAATGTGTGAGTCACATATAGTGCCCGTGGCCTGCCGCCATTTCATCCATCCTGCGTCAATTCTGTACCTCACAGTACGATCCAGTTCACCGTCGCTTTGGACCCTAGGTATCGGAAGTCTTGACATACTGGCAAAGATGCTCCGTCGAGAGCAATGGGTGTAAAATTGGAGAGACCGCCAAAATAACAGAACAGATGTTCGGTTTTCGATCTGCTGATTTTTAGGCCAACACTCTCCAACTTGCATCGTCATTTCTCCAGTATGTTTTGGACCTCGGAGAGGACCTTTGGAGAAAACGGGCTCGTTTTCTCCAACGAGCACTATGTCATCGGCAAACAGCATACACCAAGGGGGCTCTTCCTGGATCTCCGATGTCAAGGCATCCATCACCAGCAGGAAGAGATAGGGACTTAGAGCAGAACCTTGGTGTAAGCCCACTGCCACATTGAACTCGTCGGAATTCCCTGCGGCGGTTCGTACGTACGTCCTGGCTCGACTGTAAATGGCACAGATTAACCTCACATACTTACCAGGTATACCTTTCTCATTCAATGCCCACCACAAAACTGCTCTAGGTACGGTAGGTACGGTAGGTCGTACGCTTTTTCCAGATCAACGAACACCATATTATTATGCAGATTCCTGTGCACGTCGCGATATTTTTCGCACACTTGGCGGAGTGCAAATATGGCGTCCGTTGTCCCGCGACCAGGCATGAACCCGAACTGGTTTTGGGTGATCTCACTTTCATTTCGCAAACGCTTTTCTATCACTTTCTCCCAAACTTTCATACTATGCGAGATAACCTTTATTCCCCGATAGCTGCCACAGTCTTGCACATCCCCTTTATTTTTGTATATGGGCACTAGTGTACTGGTGCACCATTCCGTAGGGATCACTTCTTCTTGCAGCAGCTTATTGAAGAATAAAGTCAGCCACTTATATCCGTCTTCTCCCAATATCTTCCATACTTCCACTGGTATACCGTCTGGTCCTTCCGATTTTCCGCTTTTCATACTTCTCACTGCTTCTCTAACTTCATACATACTGATCTCATTCACAAGTCCGACGTTCTCTGGCTTCCTATTAATCACCCTATTCCAGTCGTTCTCCTCATTCATAAATTTTTCAAAATATATCTTCCAGCGCTCTTTTATTTCGTCATCTTTCATTAGAACTTTACCTGTCTCATTTTTACATCTGACATGCTTAATATCTTTCGCTCTTTCATCTCTAATTCTCGTCCATCTAAAGCGGCATACAACCGTTTCTGAGCATCAGACCTGGCTATAGCAACCGCTTTAGTGGCTTTTTTCTTACATTCTCTATGTTCATTCTTCCTAGCTTGCCTCTCACATTCATTTCCTCTTTCTAGTTGCCACTTTTTGAATGCATTCTTCTTTTCTTTCAATTCCCTCTGTACATACTCATTCCACCACCATGTATCCTTGTCAATTATACTTTTCCCTTTTGATTCGCCGAGCACAGCCTTAGCCGTCCTCCTGACATTATTTGCCATTTCATCCCAACATTATTGCATTCGTTGATTGCTCTTCAATTATTTGATTGGAGTGAACTGAATTGAAGTTTTATTAAGCGAATCGAACTTTTGATGCTAATACCAAATAAAACGCACCCTTAATTACAAAGATAAATGTCGCGTATTAAGCGCGAAATGTCGCTTAAACCATCCTTCATCATCATGGTGACGCCATTCGTTGCCACGCCAGCAATCGGTTTTACGCACGTTTATAAATGTTTAACATCAAAAACAACACGTCTTAAACAAATTTCATGGAATTCACGTTGTCGGTCCGTAAATGGAAACGAAAATCTTCATGCGTCACCGACTTGGAATTGCGTGATGAATAATATAATCTATACACGTATTTTAATATTGCACCTTATGTCTTAAGCAATAGTGCCGAAAACTTTTTCGCTACACAATCAATCATTGGGGTATTTCCTTCTTTTTTTCTTATATTCATTAAACGAAACAGAAAGTGAACAAATAAAATAGTATTGGAAATCTATCACCTTCTCTCTCGTACGCCATATATCTAACCCTTAGCTTTTGACAAACATAATTTAAAAATAGGAACTTAAAATGAATGCGTTCCTTAGGAATGTTCTCCATTGGTCACGTAAATATTTTTTATCTTTTTGATTTCGTACAAGAATTTGTACTTTGGAATGATTACTAATATTACCACTGTAATATTATTTTTCACAGAAATGTTCCAAATACATTGCTTTTTTTAGGCCTACAAACAAATATTCCAAGTACATTTCCTAAACAATAAAATATAAATGTTATATCACGTGAAACTTTTTGTTGAATATTGGGAAGTTGATAGAATCCGAAATCAGACTGGGATCCCGTTTCTAGTAGCAACGCGACGTTCTAGCCCACTGAGTTTCTCGCCGGATTTTCTCAGTGGGTCGCGTTTTCGATCCGGTGGTAGATTCTGCGGAGCACTGCTCTCGCTAGGGCTAGTGTTAGCAACGTGGTCAGGCTAGAGCGCCGTGGGGTCACTTATTCACCCGGTCACGCGGGGTTTGAGTAGATCTAATAAATAATAGTACGGGCGAATATGTTGGCTCGCAGGTTTGCGCGGAGTTTAAATGGGGTGAAGATAACTCTCTCTTTCGAGCGTACTGCACCTCTCTGTACACCTGTGCTCTGTGGGCTGACTATACGTAATGTAATTTTAATTATTAATAATAAATTATAATTTTTATTTTATTGTATTTTGATTTAAATATTATGTAATTGTATGTGAAATTTTATGGGCTTAAGTTACCTGAAATAAACGCATTTCATTTCAATTGATTTCAATAACGAATGGTTTTTTTTATTTACAGATATCATGTGGCTGTATCTGGTGATATCTTTACTCGCGTTCACCGCATCCACCAGCTTACATTTGGCCAAAAACAATACGCTGTTCACTGACGAACGTATTATATTTTCTTCTGGTCTGAACATAACCAGGATCCTGGTGCCTTCGGACCGCAACAGGCTACAGGTCAGCGAGACCAACATGCCCTCTATATTCTTCACGTTATCCGATCCGGCTTCGGAAGGTGGGACCTGCCTTTACATTCTGGAAGGTCTGGCCGCTTACGAGATCCTGGAAGGCGGTACGGACGCCACGTCCGCATATGACGACCAAACGATTTACTTCGCTTCGACGAATGGTCTCTACAGATTTGAGCCGTCGACTATGTCGGCGAAGAAATTCGGACCCTTTCGCGACCACATCGTGCAATTGCAGAAAGCAAGTGGAAGCGACGAGATATTTACTCTCAACGACAAGAACGAGGTGTATAGGATGGAGAAAAATGGAACCGTGAAAACAAAGATGTCCGATATATGCGCTGAGCAATTCGTTTTGGATACGTCGAATAATTTGTATTACGTTTCTTGCGGCGATAATGTATTGAGAGCGCTGATGTACGGTAGTCCGATAACGGTAGCCATGGTCGAAGAATTCAATGAGATTAAGCTCTTAAGACCGCCATTCATTCTAGAATCTTCGATTCCTCTGTTCGGCGATAGAGTTTTGTATTTGTTCTATTCAAACGGTACCAGTGAGAGGAAGGATTTAGAGCTCAGCGTAATGCCGACGGCGTTTAGTGTTGACGCCGCATTGTATGTAGTTGCGGCTTTGAACGGGAAATTGTACGAATTTAACGTTTTCGAGGTTATGTCCCGCTCGATGTTTCGTAGTTCCACAATTTCACCGACAGATGTCTCCGAAATCATAATGGCGGTCTTGCAAAATGGCGACGATGGTTCTTTTTAAATTATCGACCACTTTCCGGGAACTTGATTTGTCTTTTTTTGTTTTCTTAAACTTTTTTATGCACTAACTCAATCCCAACTTGAATACATGGTTTGTGTTTAATGAAATGAATAAGATAATTACAGTTAGAAATGCTCCCGAAATGTGATATCGGCGATCCTAACGGGGCTATATAGATGTTCTGTATACACACGCGGAATAGCCTCTGCTTTAAATCGTTTCTTTTATTCCCAGTTATTATCTATCTATCTACCTCTTAGGTTTATGGCGTTTCCTTTTAGATTTCGCCAATGTCAAGTGTATATAATACTCTGCTTTCTATAGCGGGCTTCGTGAACGAGCAAGGTCACAGATATTCACTAAGAATTAAGTGAGTAGCTAAGAATGTTTGATGACAGGATCTCTGTTGATTTACCTAAAACAAATAAGACGCACACAATATATATACAGGGGTTAGTTCGANGTGTATATAATACTCTGCTTTCTATAGCGGGCTTCGTGAACGAGCAAGGTCACAGATATTCACTAAGAATTAAGTGAGTAGCTAAGAATGTTTGATGACAGGATCTCTGTTGATTTACCTAAAACAAATAAGACGCACACAATATATATACAGGGGTTAGTTCGATAAAAGACAGACAAACTACAGCTTAATGTTATTTAGGTTAATGAATGAACTAAGAATATAAACGAAAGGGGAGTTGACAAGGGAAAGAAGAGATTTGAGATCAATGGGGCGAGGAATATCAGGAGGAAGGAATTAAAAATAGAGGATGTTTTAATATGACGTTTCATTTTGAATAGCCCGCCATTTTAACAGTTGTCATGTGTCAGACTGTCACCATTTGACAGAATATGATTAGTAAAAACTCACTCTATGTAAAAACTACAATATTAATTAAAAAGACACGATTTACAAATGAGTCGATGTGAAACTTAACCCACAGACGCAATCTACTGAGTTTTTCCCAGAAAATCTCGCATTTCGCAAGAAAATTTCGCAGAAAATCTCAGTGGCTCCCAATTACAATCTGGTAGTAGATTCAGCGAAGTCCTGCTAGTGTTAGAATATTCTGTTAGTAAGGCTAGTGTTAGAATATCCCGTAGGGCTGAGCCCCGTGAGGTTGTCTACTAGTCAAGGTGAAGCCAGAATAGCTCTTCGAGGCTATTGGCACTTAGCAGCCAAAACGAATGCAACAATTAAATAACGCACTGAAATTCTTTTTAAATTCAGTTCCGTAACAAAAAATTGTAATCTTCGTATCAAATTTGCCATCGGTGTTTTGTCAACGAGATTTTGAATTTAAAAAGATCTTTTTTTTAAAACAGTTTTAACTAGTCGAGATGTATTTACCTAAGTACATAGTTCCTTTTGCGGTTATGGTATAGAAAAAAAACTGAGGAAAAGTAGCACGCAGTCTAAGCTAGGGTACTTTTTTTTTTTATGATTGAAGGATTACTGGTGGCCCGGAGGCCTTTCCAGTTTCACCAGGACAGGTGGGCGAGCAAAGGCTCAGCCAAGAGGGGTGGGATTTGCTAACAACTGCCCGAGCGCCTCCGAAGGAGACCTAACAACTCAAGAGCAATTGTTTCGCGAATGAATCTACTACCGGATCGGAATCGCGACCCGCTGAGAAGATCCGGCGAGAAACTCAGCGGGCTGATGCATGGGTTAGGTTGCACGTCGACCTCTTTGTCGAGTTCGACGAGTACGGTTACCGGGGTCCCTAAGCCTGCCCCTAGTATTAGAGCTGAAGGCATCTAATGCAAAGGTTATTGGATCTGATGGATCCGTAAGGACGTGTCTAGGGCGTCGACGGTGACTGGCTCCTGCATGATCAGGATTCGGGGAGTAGTCAGCGGCGGCAACGATAAGGCGATTATCATGACGCATAGCCTTATCGAAGTATCGTTCCGACGCTGACTTCATGTATTTCCGAATTGATTCGAGGCCCAGGTCGTCGTGTAGGTCAACGTTCCTCACGAACCACGGAGCCCCGACAGCTAACCTGCAAAAGCGGGATTGTAGGGATTGGAGGGTGTCTATGTGTGTGCGGGCCGCGTGAGCGAACACCACACTCGCGTAAGTCATGACGGGCCTTATGCAAGTTTTGTAAAGTGTCACCTTGTTCCGAAGGGACATTTTACTCCGCTTACAGATCATGGGGTAGAGTCTACCGAGAATAAACGCGGCACGGTCACGGACTGATTTTATATGCGGGCGGAATGTCATCGATGCATCCAGGGTAACGCCCAGGTACTTGACCTTCCTGGCCCAGGGTATGGGTTGTCTAAAGAGAGTAATCGGGGGTGTGAGATTCCTCCTCCTAATCCGGGAGGAAATCCGTGTGGAGCTTCCCCTCTGAAATAGCACCGCAGTACTTTTCGCTGGGTTGATGTCTATGCGCCATTTTCGGAACCACTGTCCTAGGGCTAGGGCTGCGCTCTGAAGCTTCTTCGCGATTAGGGACTTATTTCTAGTAGAATAGTAAACAGTCGTGTCGTCGGCGAATAAAGCTAAATGGGTCGGCGGCGACCGGGGAATATCGTTGACGAATAAGCTAAATAGGAGGGGTGAGAGGACAGAGCCTTGCGGGACTCCAGCTGTGAGAGGTCGTGGGGAGGAGCGGGTTCCCTCGACTTGATATCGAAAAGGCTAGGGTACTATGGGAACCAGAGACTTAAATACGTTTAAATATACACACTTAAATATATTAAACACCAGACAAATAGCAAACAAATCTGTTCATCACATGAAATATTTGGTAGGGGCACGATCCACGACCCTGAGCTCAACAGTCAGGGCTACTACCTACTACACCACCGAGTCAGTCAAAATAGTTTTTTATATGTCTCAAGTCTTAATTAGTACAATCCTTACGACCTTACATAAACACACTCATTCGCGAAGCAGCTGTTCTTGAGTTGTTAGGTCTCCTTTGGAGGCGCTCGCGTAGCTGATAGCAAATCCGAACACTCTTGGTTGAGTCCTTGCTCGCCCACCTGTTCTGGTGAAACTGGAAAGACCTCTGGGGCACACCAGTAGTGTATTTTGTCTCAAAGATATTTCATTTAACCCTTTGACTCACTCTAATTACTTTTTGTTCCTATTTCATTACAAAATAGTTGTAAGGAACATTGTGTACAAATTCAGCACATTTGTCTCGTGCGAACATGGCTTATGTTTCAATCCAAATTTTGTTTCTTTTAACTTGTCTATACTAATATTATAAAGAGGAAAGATTTGTTTGTTTGTATTGAATAGGCTCCGAAACTACTGAACCGATTTGAAAAATTCTTTCACTGTTTGAAAGCTACACTATTCCCGAGTGACATAGGCTATAATCTTTTTTGAAAAAAAATTGGGATCCTTACAAAAACTCCAATAATGTAACCCAAGGTGTAAAAAAATACCTAAAATATTCTTTATATCGCGTGCCCTTCGAAAACTATTGATGATAGAATAAAATAATCTACTAGGACTTTGTAGAACACGTTATTATTTACAAAAAGTGTCGCGACAGCATATGTCTGACTATTATAGTTATGCCGCAATAAGTACTCTTTTATTTAAAAAAATAAAACAACGTCATTAAAATTTTTGTTAAAGACCCGAGCGGAGCCGGAGCGAGCCGCTAGTGTTTTTATATATCTTTTTAGCTTTTGATGTGTATTGCGTGCCTAATAAATAAAAAATAAATAAAAAAATGGTTTCATGGAAAAAAAGTATTATTTTTAAATCATTACGACTGCGCATATCAGAAAAAGATACTAATATTCAGTGTACCCGCGGCTTTAGTGCGAAAACAAAGTCAAAGTTCATTATAAACATTGAAATTTATCATTTAGTTTGTGCACGTTCTCGCTAAAGGAAACTGGGTAAGCATTAACAATTACTTTGCTTAATTATTTCAATTTTGTAAATCGGATTGGTTTTGTGTTGTCCAATCCCGCAAGCAGGTTACTTAGATGGGTGGACGGGCTCACAGCCCACCTGGTGTTGAGCGGTTACTGGAGCCCATAGACATCTACAGCGTAAATGCGCCACCCACCTTGAGATATAAGTTCTAAGGTCTCAGTATAGTTACAACGGCTGCCGCACCCTTCAAACCGAAACGCATTACTGCTTCACGGCAGAAATAGGCAGGGCGGTGGTACCTACCCGCGCGGACTCACAAGAGGTCCTACCACCACTGAAGTTTTTACTTGGTTGTGACTTGACCCCACACGGATAAGTACCACCATGCAGTTTACTTTCGTTATATGGATACTATTGGAATGAACTCTCCTCCACGGTGTTTCCCGAGCGCTATGACATGACCTTGATCGAACGAGGTTTGAGGACAGCGAACCCTCGGCGGCGGGCAGCAGTTTACCTATTATTGATATCCATGAGCGGCGGTGTTTATTATCAGATGGGCCGTATGTTGATCTGCCATTAAGGTCATTAAATAAATCCGTAGCATCTCTAGGGGTTTCTTAACATCAATTGTAAATGTTGAGTGGAGGTTAGGAAAAGAAAGCTTTTTTGATGATAGAAGATTTAGGCACCACAACAAAGGAAGTTTGATGATTTGATTGATTTAATGATTAGAATTAGTTGCATTAGCTCGTGATTGTCTCCTGATCAAGAGCCGGAAAACCTACTGCCATTAAAGATTCCATAGTCAATGCTAGATAATTAAAATGAACATTATTTCTCAGGTGTCCAAGATGAACGCAGCAACCCTTTTCATCTTTGTGGTGGGACTAAGCGTCGCAGCTTCCAAAGTGCTCAACGGCTCAGTTTTTAGACAGCGCAGCGTGGAGCTATATTCGACTGAGGATCAAGTCGTGGGCGCTTTTGTTATATCCAATGCAGAGAAAAGCGACGGCAAGATATACACAATACACGCTGATGTTAACGATAATCGAACAGAAAAAGGCGTATACGAAGTAGATTTAAATCTAAACACCACAGTCAAAATTTTGGACAAAGGAAGGGATTTATGTTATGATGATGACAGCACGATATACGTAGCTAGCAATGACGGGATATATGTATATAAAACCGGAGATAAAAGCTTTAAAAAATATGGTACTTTCAAAGCTGACGTTATAAGCCTAACAAAAATGAACGGAAGCGATTTGTTTTACGCCGTAACAAACGACAATAAAGCTTACAAAGTCACTGAAAATGGTAACAAATACGTTTTGGATGATAAATTGAAAGCCGTCAAACAAGTTATGTTTGATAACTTCAATGTATTGCACTATGTCACTTTGGATAATGAAGTATTTAAAGTGATTGAGAATGTAGAAAAAATCGATTTTAATGTTAAAATCGATTACGTTAGGCTCTTGAAGTCGAGCGCAACTGAAGATGACGCCCTTTTTCTTTTAGTCAACAACGACCTGGTGGTTATTAAATCGACAGGAATATTGAAAGTTGTCGAGAACTTGGGGAAAGTGTCAGCATTTTCTAAGGAAACCGATTCATTGCTTATATACGCGGTGGATAAAAAAGTTTACGGATTTATACCGCTTTTGTATGTGATCGGTTCTTTTGCTGATGTTTTGTCTTTAAAATATTAATTGATGTTCATTGGGGTAAAATCGAAAAGCGTTAAGTGATTGATAATAAAAGCAATTTGAATAAGCGATGATAGTTTTTCTATGTATTAAATTTTGTGCATATTTTTTATCCCTACCTATGCTGATAGCCTTGAGAGGCTATTTCATCTTCGCCCTAACATGTAGGTGAGCTCACGGGGCTCAAACCGGACTGTTGCTAGCATTGGCCCTAGCAAGAGCAGTGCTTCGCAGAATCTACCACCAGATCGGAAACGCGACCCACTGAGAAGATCCGGCGAGAAACTCAGTGGGCTATGTTTATGGGCTAATTCGCTTGTCGAGCTCTTCTTCGCTAGCGACGGGTTCGACGAGGACGGTGACCGTTGCTTGTGGTACCCAAGAGCACCGTTAATGGGTCGGGAGGTTCCGTAATGACGTGTTTTTTTTTTTATATTTTTTTTATTGCTTAGATGGGTGGCCGAGCTCACAGCCCACCTGGTATTAAGTGGTTACTGGACCCCATAGACATTCACAACGTAAATGCGCCACCCATCTTGAGATATAAGTTCTAAGGACTCAAGGCGATGTCGACTATTTACTATTCGGTCTACAGGTATGTAATTTCCAGCAGCCACGACAAGAGTGTTCTCATGTCGTGCCGCCTTCTCAATGTTTTTTACACTTGTATAAGTAATAAATACAATATAACAACGACAACTCCGCCAGTAGTATACGACTGAGAAGAAGACTACATTGTATAGCAGATAATAATATATACATGATAAGCCAACACCGAAAAATCTTGTTTGAAAATAATGGTGCGTAAATAATGTTTGATTCTGGCTCGCTGATTCAGTTAAAAGCGTGTGCCCACATTTTTTGTATCTTACTAATTTAATTCGTCGATATATACTTAGTGTTACAATCGAAAACTAATGTTTCCCGTTTTGCTTTCCGCTCTTTTTGTATGTATGTTTAGGACTATTTGATAATACTCGGGAAAGCAAATAAAAAAAGCGTTTGTTTGGGATGTTTCTTTGTTTTATTTTGTCGTGTTAATCAGTTAAGGCGGATGTGGTCCACTTGATACAAAAAGTTGCTGTCATTAGTGAAATGATATTATTCTCGGAGCGCGGATCTTCGATATTGCTCCGATAATGCTACAGGGAGATTTAACCTCAGTGTTTTACTAATTAGGATCTTTTTCAACCTGGTCTTATTAGGCTGTTAGGTCTATTAGGTTGTGATAACGGGTCAGATAAACGATAAAGTCAAAGGTTGTGTCTAAATAGAGACAGATGATGAAATCATTTTTCTCGTACATAATTAATTTTTTTAATTTCGTAGTGCGATAACTTAGAAATACAACTGTGTCTTCAACTTTCATTTGGTGCGAGAGTCCCGTCATAAGATTGGTGATCGGGGATAAATAAAGGTATAGAGGACCTAAGTTTTTAGATCCCAATTTTATTGGGTGTTACTTCTCGATTCTGCTGCTGGCTCGGCAACCCAGAATGGATGGAGGTTGACGGTGCTGTGACGAGAATATATCTCTTCGTGTCTGGATGTCGAAATAGATCTATCAGCCATCAAAGTTCAAGAGTGGCAAGCACTTGTCATGAAATTTAAATAAGTTCAAAGTTAAACCTATTAGAATGTGAACATGATTGTATAAATAAAAAATTAAGGCGATATATTTCATTTTATTCCATTACTAATTAGGATAGTTAATTTACACATCTTGTACTCAATTTGTGGAATAGCGCCATGAGGTGTTTAGGCTCTGAATCCGCTGCGTGATCTGGTCGCGATCGACTGTATATCTTCAGCCTTCTCTTCCAAAAATGTTTTCAGTTCATCAAATAGCTCTCCCAGTATAATAGTCAGGATGTTGTATTCATAAATCTTTTTATTGTAAGCGTAATATTGGATTAGAGTGGCTTCGACGGCCGAGGCTGTTGGTTTTGCGTCCAGTTTGAAATCAGTTTTCTCACTTGTACCGTTCGCAAATATAGTATAAATGTCGTTATCTACAATAAAAACAACACCGTTTTCTATGACAAACGGTGGTTTGATTAGTCTCACCTGAGCTGGGTTTTCAGGAAGGCCAACGATTTCCTGCACCCCATTTTCGGTCACAACTTTCGGCTTTTTGGCCGGGCCGTAAAAGTAAACGTTACCGGAGTAATCAAGCATAATCTGTTGGGCATCTTTAGCGCCGTCAACAGCGACTTTCTTATTGCCTTCTTCGGTGACTTTGTAAACGGTGTGGTCTTCAGTCAAAACGTATAAAGGACCAGTTCCGTTTACTTGAACAATGTCAATGACACTGTCGTCGACCGTTCCGTATTTCTTAACGCTGCCGTCTTCGTTGTCGTAAACGTAAATACCGGATTTGGCGCCGAAGAACGCGAGTTTGGAGTCGTCGATGGAAGCGGTCGAGCTTGTACCGTCATCAAGCATTTTCGTGGCCGTACCGTTTTTGTATCGATAAAGGCCCTTGTATTCCTTAACCTCGCCATTATCGAGGTCGCCCTCAACGAAGAACAGTATGATGTCCGGATCGGAATCGTCGTCGTTGTCCTCGAAGTTGATTGAGTTCAATGGTACTGTTATACTGATTATGTCGTTTTGGCTGCTGTATACTGACAACTCGTCGGGGAAGAAATCTGTCGTTATGATGATTTGGTCCTCGTCGTTAGTGGTCGGAGCGCCGATCACAAAACTGGCCGCCAGGAAAGCGACGACGAGTAATAGCGTATATTTCATCTTTGTATCTGGAAATCGAGAAATTGTCGAACAGATTAGATTTTTTTTTATTGCTTAGATGGGTGGACGAGCTCACAGTCCACCTGGTGTTAAGTGGTTACCGGAGCCCATAGTCATCTACGACGTAAATGCGCCACCCACCTTGAGATATAAGTTCTATGGTCTCAGTATAGTTACAACGGCTGCCCCACCCTTCAAAATTCTCATTACCTTCATGTTACCGTATTTATAAGTACAGTAAAGGACAATGCCCATTTTCTTAGGGCGTTTGGGCCCCTAAAAAAGTTGTCGGGTCATTATGGTTTTAACTTAATTTAATAGACAAAGAAATATCGTTTCATATTCAGAAAACGATTTTTATATTCTCACCCAGGTTTAAGAGAAATCTGTTTTTTCCTGCAGCTAAAATTAAGTTGTTAATTGTTTTCTTCGAAATCAATAATGGCTCTCATCATTATTTACAGTATTAAATAAGTTAATTGAGTCGACTATTATCAAAGAAGTAGGTATCGGTGGAATGGAATATTTGAAAGGTGTTCCATTGATAACTACTTTTAATAAACGTATATTTTTTATTTAATTGGCTTTGTTAATTTTAAGTATGTTTCAATGATACTATGTACACATATGGACTTATTGTTGTCTGAAATAAAATAAATCATTCATAATTCATCATTCATCATTCAAAGCCGGCAATGTGATTTTTGGACAATTATTGGTAAATCAGAAAAACGAATTATTGACTTTGTATTCCATTGGCAGTCACAAAACTCTTCTGAACGACATCTTAGATAAATAACAGGTTAAGTATTAACCTTTATTTAATGCAGGTTTTGAACGTATTCTTTGAAGGAGACGATTATATTCAAATCAATCTGTATTGACATATCAATAACATTTTTTTGTTCAAATGCACAGATGCCACCTTTGATAATAGACGACTCAATTGTGGTTAATGTTGCTAGAAATAAGCCCTTACGTACATTTTATTATTATTATATCCTGATAATAATAATAAAATGAAATGAAAATCCGGAAGCCGGCAACGATGTTGGTGTTGTTGTTTTTAGATTCGCCAATAAGCAGGCAAAGAGCGTATTCTATACAGCCTAGTCTGTCTTAGTTATATTTTTTTTTTCAATAAAAAGCGTATCTCTTTTTATTGCTTTTTGGGAGTTTTGACGTCAACTTGATGAATAGCACATTGAGTGAGCGTAAATTTTCGCAGACCTTTTATCTTGAAAAAAAAAAACAGTCACTGCTATGTTAGCCACAGTTTTATTCCAATGCCTCAATAATCGTGAACAACGGTTATTGTCGTTTAATACACAAAACAACAGCCAATTTATATATTATACATCACAATAAACTATTAAAAAAACATTAAAATAAAACTTCAAGTGACGCTTCACTCGGGATGCTGCCAAAACTCTCTGATCATATATAATAAGAATAGAGTAATGGTAGGCCATTGAGATTTTTACTAATAGAATCAATAGTATCTAAAAATATTAAATAATTCATGGTTTTAAGTAATAATTATTATTACAATATATAAATATTGAATTGAACAAAAATAAACTAAAAAGTCTGTGAATTATATACATATATATATAACCATTAGCTTTTTTTTTTCTCACAGACATCTCTTTCGTTTGGCAGCTTAAAGGTTTACTATAAGGCTTTATGGGCTAAGCCCACTGCCTATTGGCGAATTTAAAAACTATGGCACTCAGTTTTGGGATGTTATCAAATAAGTAATTTACTTTTTTTGTAAAACAATGCCAGGAAAGAAATGTTGATACATAAACTGAACAACGTGAAAAAATAAAGCATAGTTTTTCAAGTAAAAATAGTTTTGACATAAAGTTGGCCCACTTTTGGGCATTGTCCTTTGTTGTCATGACAACAGGCACGTGGTCCTATAATTGAGTCGACTATTATCAAAGCCGGCAATCTGACTTTTGGACAATGGTTGGTAAATCAGAAAAACGAATTATTGACTTTGTATTCCATTGGCAGTCACAAAACTCTTCGGAACGACATCTTAGATAAATAACAGGTTAACTATTAACCTTTATTTAATGCTGGTTTTGAACCGTATTCTTTGAAGGAGACGATTATATTTAAATCTATCTGTATTGACATATCAATAAAAAACTTTTGTCCAAATGCACAGATTGCCACCTTTGATAATAGACGACTCAATTATATATTCGTAAACACGGTTCAATTAGGAGTTGTACATTAAAAACTACCCCAAATCTCATTCGTATCACTGGTTCGAAATTCTAAATCTAACTTGTTTGCTATTTTTCCAGTAATGCGTGTTGAAATTCGGCAATTTTATTTAATCAGTATACAATATAATAATAATAAAGGAAAACTAATTGGATATTAAGAACATTATTAAAAACAATAGAAGTACCATTTCTAAGCCTTTAACAAAAGTTCCTATTTAAATTGTCATCCGTGTTGGCGTTATCAAATGCGTAAAATAAAAAATATAAATGAATATTATATAATATAGCTGTACCCGTCCGCTTCGCTGGGCATTTAAAATTAACATTATTATTTCTCACCCCCACAAAGATTAACGCCCCCGCAACTGGTGTAGGGAGTCCAACACTCATACAAATATTAGCCTATCCATTAAGTACATGTATTTTCTACATGGATGCCAAGTTTCAAGTCAATCGGATGCACGGTTCAGTTGTTATAACGGAACATCCGTAAAAACCACTGTAGATTTATATATTAGTATAGATTATTAATAAAATATGAGTGATTGACGTGATTGTGATGAAGCATTTTTTATTCTGAACATGCCTAAATAAAAAAAGTCTATATGGAAAATTAGAGAACGCTTAAATACATGAAATCGTTACTTTTTTGGCCGCAAAATTGAAAATGACCCAGATGTCCTTTCTAATACGCTTTTATTAGCTTCAGACGTATGTATGTTAGTATGTAACGGAATCTTTGAACATGATTTTGATCCCCTTCAAAACGTCGGATTAACTCAAACTTTGGTACACTTATTAAGGGCCGATGACAATTCAATATTTAAAAAAAAAAAAAAAATTGAAATTCAACTAAAAAAAATTAAAAATTAATTAATTATTATTTACTAAAAAATAGTTATAAATATTTTATGAACAGATATGAGTAGAAGGGTTAATTTGATAATATTCTGAAAAGCACCTCACGCTTTTTTTTACAAAAAAATAAAAAATAATAATAATAGTTAAAAAAAAGTAAAAAAATACACTTTTATAGTAAACCACGTTTTTTTTTACAATAAAATATTTTTTTCTTACACTATTTTTATTTTAAATTTATTAAGATTTATTTTCTATTTTTTAGTTTGATTTTCTATAAAAGCGTATTTTGTTAGTTTTTTTAAACTATTTTTTATTTTTCTGTACAAAAAAAAAAAAAAAATTTTTTTACAAATAGAATGCTTACTGTATACGTGTCAACAGCCGTTTCAAACAAACCAGTAATGACGCTGTGAAAAACAAAACTCAATTATAATATAATTAAGAGAATATTGATGATATAATCTATTCGTGTTTCTGTAAACTTCCACTGATCTTCGGCGAATGTCGGGTTATCTTCTTATTGACCCCCTTCAGAATGATGTGAAATCATGAGAGACAAGTATCGCATTGTATATAAAATAACAGAAACATGTTTCGTCTTCTCGCATTAAAACTGTATAATCTCAAAACTTATAAATTTCACAGGAGAGTGTTTTAAAGGTTTAACATGTGATATCTATACATATAAATAAAATTGGAGTGTCTGTTTGTAATATTGAAATAACCGCTTTTTACTACATCCATATGAATATATATACGGTATATACACCAAAATAACATTTTTTACAATTTTTGTCTGTCTCTCTGTCTGTCTGTTTGTTCCGGCTAATCTCTGGAACGGCTGGACCGATTTTGACGGGACTTTCACTGACAGGTAGCTGATGATATAAAGAGTAACTTAGGCTACTTTTTTAGACTAGCTTCGCCCCGCGACGTCACCCGCGGTACGACAATATTCGCGGATAACATCGCGGGACACAGCTAGTTTTTAATAGTAATCGTCTTTGCAACGTTTTTTTTACCAGTTACATTATCTGTCTTTTAAAGTAAGGTAAAATTATGTATCAATTTCGTTAATAGTAGTCAAAACATAGGTAAACTAAAAAAAACAAAAATTAAAACTAAACTACATATTATGTTCTTTTGACAATATTTATTAGAAAAATACTGGTGATACCAAATGATTTCGCATATTAACAAAATTTCGAATACTTTTGGAAATTGTACGCTTTTAATGCGATAAGTTCGGTAGGCAGCGGCTTGGCTCTGCCCCTGGCATTGCTGAAGTCCATGGGCGACGGTAACCACTCACCATCAGGTGGGCCGTATGCTCGTCTGCCTACAAGGGCAATAAAAAAAAAAAAGACGATTTGAGAAATCTTTATTATATTTGTAAATTTTAATGTTGATTATTGAAAATTTTGACTGACTCGGTGGTGTAGTTGATATCCGCTCTGATTGTCGCCCCAAGGGTCGTAGGTTCGATTCCCACAACGGGTCAACATTGTGTGACGAACAATTTTTTAAATTTTTTATTGCATAGATGGGTGGACGAGCTCACAGCCCACCTGATTTTAAGTGGTTACTGGAGCCCTTAGACATCTATAACGTAAATTCGCCACCCACCTTGAGATATAAGTTTTAAGGTCTCAAGTATATGTAGTTACAACCGCTACCCTACCCTCCAAACCGAAACACATTACTGCTTCACGGCAGGAATAGACAGGGTGGTGGTACCTACCCGTGCAGACTCACAGGAGGTCCTACCACCAGTAATTACGCAAATTATAATTTTGCGGGTTTGATTTTCATTACACGACTAGCTGACCCGGCAGACTTCGTAGTGCCTCAATCGATAAATAAAAGACTAAGCTTTTGTATAAAATAAATCAAAAC